AATTGACGAATTTGAGCTTCGAATTAATAAAGAAAAGTCGCAAATAGCGAAAAACAGCGTCATATTGTTGGGACATAAAGTGGGAAACGGAGAAATAAAGCCATTACCAGAGAAAATTCTTACCATAAAAAAATATTGCAGTACCTAATTCGAAAAGGAAGTTGAGACAGTTTCTGGGAAGAGCGGCGTTCTATAGTCGGTTTGTCAAGAATTTCAACGAAATAGCAGCACCCTTATATAAGTTGCTGATCAACACCAAGTTTACATGGACTGAGGCTGCCGAACAAACGTTCAACCGAATCAAAAACATGCTAGACGATCGTTAGATGACGCTGCGACTGCCTGAACCCGGGAAACTGTTTACAGTGGCCACATGCAAGTGATCATGGTATAGGTGCGGTATTGAGTCAGGCTGATGGAGTGGTGGAATACGCATGTCGCGTTCTCACACCCGCCGAGCAGAAGTATTCAACGATCAAAAAGGAGTGCCTAGCAATCGTGTGGGCAGTAGAAAAATGGAGACCGTACCTTTTAGGTAGACGATTTCACATTGAGACTGACCATAAACCCCTGCAGTGTTTGAGAACAGTAAGAGACCGCCGAGGGAAGTTGGCGCGGTGGATGATACGTCTGCAAGAATACGACTTCAGTATCGGCCATGTTCCAGGAAAGGAAAACTTAATGGCAGATTACTTGTCAAGATCAGACATGGAAGCTGATCTTGCAGTGACAGCATACGCGGTGAATAGTTTAGAGGGAGACCCATTAGAACTCATCCGGCAACAGAAAGCTGACCCGAACCTTCGAGAGGTAATCAGAGTGATAAAAGAAGGAGAAGACGTAGACAAACGAACAACGGACAAGGAGGTAATAATGTTACTGAAGCAAAAGGAACGACTGAGAGTGAACGCATATGGAGTCCTGACCTGGCGGGATGATGACGAGAATTGGGTAGCAATAATCCCAAAAGGTCTGCGCCAGGAGATGATTCGTGAATGTCACCAGGTAGCGCACACAGGTATTGCACGGACAACTGATTTGCTGCGGCAAAGTGCGTACTGGCCAGGTATGAGAGACGATGTTGCACGATATGTGTTAGCGTGCCAGCGATGTCAACTAATGAAAGGGGATCGATGCATACGACCGCCATTGCAGTCAATTCCAGTAACAGCAGTTGGTGATTTGTGGTCAGTAGATGTTATGGGACCGTTCCCGCAGACGACAAGTGGTAACCAGTACCTGCTGGTGATGACTGAGCATGCCACACGATGGGTAAATGCCGTGCCGATGGCGGACCAACGTGCAAGGACAGTGACGGAAGCGGTAATGCGGCACATTGTGGCGGACCATGGGATACCAAAGATAATATTAACCGATCAAGGTCTCTGTTTCGAGAGTGATGAGTTCAAGTCCCGTCTAAAGCAGTTAGGTATCAAGAGAGTACGAACAACGCCGTATCATCCACAGACGAATGGGTTAACGGAAAGGAATAACCGAACGCTAAAGGAATGGCTAGCATCTAAAGGGGGTGACTGGGAGAAAGAATTACCATTAATCTTGCTGGCACATCGTGTCTCGGCACAGGGAACAACCAGGAAGTCACCGTTCCAGCTGATGTATGGCAGACGGCCGAGACTACCAACGCATGATAAAACCTGGCCGCAACAACAAAGATGGAATACAACAAGATTGAGAACAGAGCGGAGACAAGCAATCAGGAATGTGAGAGAGAAACAAACATCAGACATAGAGAAGTCAGAACAGGAGACCGTTTGAAGTTGGAGACCAGGTGAAGTGTAGAGAACGGAAATATACCACAGGAAGAGGGCCAGGGTCAGGTAAGCTGATCCCGAAGTGGGAGGGACCGTACGTCGTCACCGAGAGGCGCGGCGCAGTGTATACGATCCAGAAAGGAAACAAACAGAAACGCGTGAATGCCAGTGAACTCCAAAGGTGGTTCCAAGTGCGCCAAGAGGGCGAGCCACAAACACTGATAAAGAAGACGGCTGTACGGAGATCAGAAAGAATACGACGACAGCTTATTGAAAGGGGGGACGAGTGTGGTGCTGTGGTGCGAACTACTTATAAGTAGTATATGACGTGAGTGTCAACGTAATGTCTGGTAGCAGAAGATGGGGGAAGATCAAGAAAGGAAGAGTTAGAAAACAATGGAATTTGTATGAAACGCATGAATAGTGACAATGGATTGATGTTTGGCAACAGGAACAGTCCAGTTCCATAGGATGAACTGATCTTTTGCAAATGAACGATTTACGATATGGTTGTCCGATTTTACTGAGTGACTCTGTAATTTTCGTTAAATACAATCCGGTTGCCCCACCTGTGTTCTCATTCACTACACTACTACATTCTGCATTACATAGACAATTCCGAACGACAAAAAAGTACTGATTAGTAATTATAACAAGGTTTTCAGTCCAACAATTGATTGATTCATTACAAAACGAAAATGATGAGATATAAAGAGGAAGAATAACAGTACCATTATTATAAATTATTTAAGTGACTTCAATTATTCATCAAGTATTCAAATGTGCTTATTAGTGACTAGCTTCGTGAGGAATCTTCTCTGAATTCTAGTGAGAACATGTAACAAGTGGAGTTCAACCTTGTCAGGTGTAGGCAACAACTACCAAAGACAATAGCTGACGTCGGGTCAAATCCTTAAATTGGTCAGAGTTAGACATTAACACCGTTGGATGACGGCTCAGTAGCTCAGATGGTTATACGTTCGCGCTCAAGACCGAGGGTCCTGCGCTCGCATCCTGTGAGTAGCAAGAGTCATGAATGCACACTGCTGATTAGTAGGCCTATAACCAGTGCGAGATGGTCGTCCAATGCTCTCAGGTTTTATAATGACGGCCTAACAATCAATGAATCATGCATGATTTCAATGTGTACAAACAAATTTAACATTGAAAACTAACCTGACTTAAACCAATACGAAGTGAATTCAATGCCTGTTGATGTTCACCCCATAATGCACGTCTATATTTCACATGACATAATTGTTGACAAGGCCAAAGTACTAAATTGGCAAATACTGGAGAATTATACGATAATGCATTGTAATGATTTACCAGGTCAATATATCTATACAATAGAATGATAAAAAAACGTGAATGGATTTTGTTTAACTAGATAGGGGAAACGTTCATGTACTTGATGTTTAAACACAATTTAGATATATAATGGCTGGTGATAATATTCCTGATTGATTAAATTGAATGAGGTGTCAAGTTCAAATCCTGCGAGGAGCAGGAGTCGTGGATGAGCACTGCTGATGAGTTCGATACCAGGACAAATCGGCCGTCCAGTGCTTCCAGGTTTTTAATGGTGGTCTAACAATGGTTGATTGATGATTCTTTGTTTCATCAAAAAAAAAGAGTGACAGCATGCAACAAGCAGATTCATTGAATCTTTTTTGATATATTCGTCAACTGATGATAGGCTTGAATGCTAGCTATTACGAGTTCACCTTATTCGGTAAACTGATCGAACAGTAATGACTCAATGACGCGATAGGCTACTCTAATCCGAGTGTCCCAACACCCCCACTAAGTAGAGGAAAAATTCTTGATAAGGCGCAGAAAGTGTATTATTCTACAAGCACCCAGAAAATACGAGGTCTACAGGTACACAAATCAAACTTAGTTATACAATGATATAAACGCTCTTGGAAGAGCCACAAAATAGCATACTGAAATAATCTGTCAACCAATGACAGTGCAGGATTTCTGAGGAGGAAATTTAAGCTGAAAGTCAACTGGCGTCAAAACATGGAAATTCAAAATTATTATTATCCAGTGAAACTAGAAAAAGTACCACTTAAAGAGATATGTAAAAGTAAACAGCATAAAATGCGTTTTTATGTTCCACTTAACCTGTCTCATTGTAATTTTTTAATTAATATTTAGAAATATTATTCACTGATGATAATATGCTTAAAGGATGAGTTAGTGACAGTCATACTAACTACTGCTATACATGAAGTTCTCAGTAACTTTTCTTTGCGTTAGGCATTTACCTACCCTAGAAGTTGTTATGTCAGACAAGTTTAATCGATAGTAGCATCAGTTGTGCAAGCGAAAATTTCTCTTGACTTCCATTGCATGACCATAGTCGAAAAGTAGAAAAAAATTACTGTATAAACAGTACAGAGATAAGATGAGAATACAGATATTTCTTTATTTAAGTTACCAATAATATTAGCAGTTAGTCAGATACAACGTAAAACTTCGTACGTACGTACATCAAGTTCAAGTTGCTATGCCAGATTAGTACACAGACCGTAGCTTCTACCTCAACGTCACGGTCGAGCTTGCCTACCATGATGAACCAACCAAGCTATATTGGCTGGAACCTGACCCTTTAGGTCCTACCATGCCAGGCTGGTCTATTGGAGAACAGTAAGACTAAAAATAGCTACTCAAGGTGTGAGGGCGACGTCGTACTTCTGACAGTAGAGGGGTGTGACAAAAGTAAGGTGTTTCCTTCAGACAACCAGCACCTGAAGTGATGCTGCCTTTTCACAAGGAAAGAAGGAGTTAGAAAAGGTCGACCCTAAAACTGTCACAAACCATTAGTTTCCGTCTCTGGCGGTAAAGCCATTTAAACAGTAGAGCTAACACGTTATAAACTTCCTATATAAAGGCTGTATATGACCGGCCTCAAGTGGTAGTCTCTTGGGCTCTGCGACCAGGCTCCTAAGACCAACACTAACCCAGCTTTCTTTCCAAGTTCCTCAAGAAACACGCTTCCATAGTGTGGGCAGCCGGGAAACGACATTCACCCTCATACTCGTAACAATATTAGCAGTCAGAAATTGTTAAAACAAGTTTGTTGTATCAGTATGTAGATTTAGTCCAAAAATAACATTAACAATGAATAAAAGCGTGATTTCAACGGCCAGCCAGCCTGGAAAAGAATTTTCTATAAGCTACAGTCGTTTGGTCAAGGATGGCAGATCAATCGATGAAGTAATGAAACTTCATCAGTTGAGGTGGTTGGGACATGTCTTGCGTATGCCCAACCACCGACTGCCTCGACGAACTTTGTTTTGTAGTGAAGGAGTAGGTTGGAAGAAAGTTAGGGGCGGCCAGACCAAAACATGGCACAAATCCATGAATTCATTGACTAGTGGACTGAGCCATGTCGGTAATTGTCGACTACCTGGTTGGGGTCCGCGAGATGATAATAATCGATGGTTAGAGACCTTGAATGACATGGCTCAAAATCGTTCGCAATGGCGCCAGTGCATTTATTCTTTGTGTTCTCTCAAACCCTAATCTTCTGGATACTTCAACACCTCTAGTTTTGACTTTCTAAACTTTTCTTACTGAATCATACTTCTTGAATAATATCTTCTAATCCTAACCTCTCCGATTACTTCTAATACCCTTACTAACTCTTCTTCTATTGGATTTGAATTGACAATTATATCTCTGTGCTGATGTGGTATGGCGACATGAACTGATGTACTTACGTACGAAGTTCTACGTTGCATCTGACTGACTGACAGTCGTTTGGTACCAATAGAATAAAACTAACGCATAAATCTATAATTTTTATTTACAACAAATCTTATTATTATTATTATTATCGAGAGAGAAAAAATGCACAAACAAACTTACAAATCATAATATGATGGACAATTAGCTGGAAGATGAACAACTTCCAGTGGTGCAGTGTTTATGCCTTGATCATGATGATGATGATTGAATGGTAACAATGTTCTAATTGGACCAATAGAATATAAAATTTCAGCTAATAATTGACCAGTAGGTTCAAAGCCTAAACCACCAGCACCAGGATATGATATAGAACCGATAGTTAATCGAATAATCGATTCAATTGGATGCATAAAACCAAAATTATAATAATCTGTAGAATTGTATAAGCTTGCAATTTTTTGAAGATAATTTATCCATATTAAACAATTCAATGATCGATCTAAAATGAACTATTATGGAAAAAAAATAGAAATTGACATTTTAGTATTGTATCAAGTTATAGAAGGATTTATGAATAATGTAGAATTTAGCTAGATCTTAGCTAGATTACCACTGAAAACAAGGAAGTGCAAGGTGACCGTCTCGTTCGAGTATACGACTGCTAAACAGTAAGTATATTTACAATCTTATATCAGCGGCTGCACACTGACAATTACTATGTGCAACTCACTAGTGATAGTCAAGTCCGATTTGGAAGCGACAGATAAACATTGAAGTAATATCGTGAAATCATCGAGTTCCATCAATTTTCTATTGTCACATCACTGTTAGTTATCCGAGTTTTCGGACAAATTAATAATTCGTCTGCTGTCATGGACGGCCAAACAGTAATATGGCACAAATCCATGAAGTCACTGACAACTGGAGTGAGTTATATTTGTAGGTGTCGACTACATGGTTGAGGTCGCGAGATTATAGGAATCGATGGTTAGAGACCCTGAATGACATGACTTAAAATCGTTTGTAATGACGCATGTGCATCCATTCTTTGTGTTCTCGCTAATTGTAATCTTCTGAATTCTTCATCACCTTTATTTCTCTCTTCTTAAGTTTATTTCATTACATTCTACTTCTTTAATAATATCCTGGAGTCGTAATCTCTCCGACAGCTGCTGATACTTGTACTATCTCTACTACTATGGAGTTTGAATTCACAATTATGTCTCTGGGATAATGTGGTATGGCAACATGAGCTGATGTACGTACGTACGTACGAAATTCTACGTTGTAACTGACTGACTGAATCATTCCATCAAGTTCTAATAATTCGTTATCTGTTATATGTACTTTAATTAATATCCTTTGTTATGTGTATGTTATACTTTGTCCATTTTCATGTATAAAAAATAGATCATACTTAGTTATTTGAATAAGTACTAACTGTATTCTATTCCATCTACATATTCACTGTTTTCTTGATTACTCGCCTGGGCCTCATATGCATGTTTGAAATATACAAGTCCTAAACATATCACGTAGTCGACTGCGGATTTTGACGTTGTAAGAAAGTAAATAAGATTTAATTTTTTTTTCACTGAATATTTTTAATTCATTGTCATAGCATGAAGTCAATTAAACGCTACTACATCATTGTTAGGATATTCGTCCAATATCCTAAGAGAACTATTGGTCGATTTCTATTGGTGAAAATTATGGTCGTTTTAACTGTCAAAGTCAAATACTTTATTTAATATTGTCTCTTATTGGTCATCCGGACTGTCAATGTCACTTCAAATGTTACTTCCTATCTTAACTGTCAATGTCACAGAACTCGATGCTGTTTCCTATTCGACCAACATGTATAAACACGCATTATCTGTGACATTTTATGACCACGACCAGGACCCGGTCCCGGATCCCTAGTCCGGGATCCTATTTCTCTTCTGGATTCGGACCTCGAGCTTCTGGATGCTTGTAGAATACACGTTCTACTTCATATCAAGTCTTTTTGTATTCTTTTACTAAATATGGGGGTTGGGATAATCGGCTTTGAGTAGCATGTCATGTCGCCGGATCCTCGATCCTCTCTCTTTCGTTTTCCGACTAAGGTAAATTCGTAATAGTTCAAGCATATCAAGCTGACGTGTTTATGTGTAGACGTAACAATCATACTATACTAAAAGACAGTTACAAAAATTTGTATCCGTGAAACAATCGGTTTTGCTACAACGTGCCAAGGTCATTGTATATATATATATATATATATATATATATATATATATATATATATATTTCATATTAACATAAAGATTATTGTTACGCATGCACGTAAACAGGTCATTTGATATGCTTGAACACTAGTACGAGTTTATCTCAGTCGAAAGAAGAAGAGAATCAGAATCCGGGTAATAAAACGTTACAGATAATTCATATTTATACATTTAGGTCGAATAAGAAACAGCATCGAAGTCTGTGACATTAACAGTTAAGGCGACCAATAGGAAAAAACATTTGAAGTGACATTGATGATCAGAACGACCAATAAGAAACATGACATTGATAGTTAGGACGATCATAACATTATTGACCAATAGGAATCAACCAATTAAATTCACATTTACAAAATGATTCTTCATAAAATATTTGGTGAATATCCTAACAATTATTACCGTAGAACTATTGTTATTGTGTGTTAAACATCATCTGGTCTCTTTCAGGTTCCTATCCGTTCTAGCTAGTAGTGATAATAGAAAATTCTCAATTAGTCGGAAGACAAAATTCACTATAGACCAACTAAGAAAACCTTAAATAATCTAACCGGTTTTTATGAACATATCGGACAGGTTATTATTATTTACGCACTCACACACACACAGAGAAAAAAATAATACATCTTACTTGACGATAAGTTTCATTTTCTTCATTATTAATTTTTTTAGATTTTGATAATAAAAATGTATGAATCAATGGTAGATATGCCCATTCTTTGCATATTAATCGATCACTCATTGATCTTGGTTTAGAAGTAGTATAAGGATTCAATCGGAAAATAGATTGATATTTTGATGAATCATTTATTTCTACTGGAAGCAGCTTAGTATCTTCAGCAATTGATGGTAAATCTAAAATTATAAAAAGTTATCTCACCACATATTAACAACACAGTATATAATATTGACATCAAGACAGCCTTCAAAACATCGTATAGAAATGTTGAAGGACGAATTTTGAGGTTTATGGAGGCCTTGGCTATTAGAAAGTTTAAACCGCCGTTATGAATGCAGGAACAATTTGTCATTCCCTTGGATTTACCTTGGTAACCTTTAAGCCTAAGATAGTGTGACAGTTTTCCTACCCCTGCTTATTCTTTTCATATTACGTTAATTTTCTCTCTTCTTTATTTAAAATTATCATCCTATGTCTATTTGAACTTTTACTGAATTGACTTTTCATTCATCTTCATATAAAATGCCTTGACAAGTGAATACGTTTTTGAAACCATGAATCGACCGATGTTAGACCCACACCATTAGAAACCTGAAAGCAGTGGACGGCCATTTCGTCCTGGTATGGGACTCCTCAGCAGTGCGCATCCACAACACCTCCACCCCGCAGGATTCGAACCTGGAACCATCGGTATTGTGCGCCAACGCCCTAACCGTTAGACCACTGAGCCGGTAACTGACGGTGTTAATGTCTAACTTGATCAAATTCACGGAGTTGCGCAACCTCATACACAGTCTTCGGTAGACACTGCCTACACCCGAACAGGTTGAACTTCACTGGTCACGTGGTGGATGCGCACTGCTGAGGAGTCCCATACCAGGACGAAACGGCCGTCCAGTGCTTCCAGGTTTCTAATGGTGGTCTAACATTGATCGATTCACGGTTTCAAAAATGTGTAACTTAACAATCTTCACAACCCCGTAATGCAAAGTAAATATGTATGTGACCAGATTGTTCGAACAATGTATAGGTCGCAAATACATCACATTTTTCATATCAATTACGTCTTCTCACTGTTCTATCAAAAGTATAATAATGATTTTTATATCGGATGAATTACAGATTTAAAAAAAAATTTTGATAGAGAACAAGGTGAAGATGTAGTTGATTTGAAATATGTTGTGTGTATTTGCCCCAAATTACATATTTCGAACAATCTGGTCACACACACACATAGATATACATTTCTCAAGGCGTTTTACATGAAAATTAGAATAGATAAAAGGTGATAAATTTAAACAAAGGAGAGAGAATATAAATATAATAATTATCACCTTATGTTTATTTGAACTTTTATTCAAGTGACTTTTTTTTAATAATTTTCACATAAAATGACTTAACAAATGTATGTGTGCATTATGGGGTTGTGAAGATTGTTGAGTTACTCTTTTTGAAATCATGAATCGATCAATCTTAAACTACCATTGGAAACCTAAAAACATTGGATGGCCATTTCATCCTGGTATGAGACTCATCAGCAGTATGCATCAACGACTCCTGAACCTTGAGGGATTCAAACCCAGGATCTTTGGTCTCGCACGCGAAACCTGATCTATGGACCACTGAGTCGATATCTAACGATGTTAATGTCTAACTTCGGTCAATTCACGGTCTTGTGTCACCTTATCCACTGCTTTCGGTGAGCACTGCTTCACACCCGAACAGAGTTGAACTCCAATGGTCACGACTTCTCACTAGAACTCGGAGAAGATTTCTCACGGAGCTAGTCACTACTAGTGAGCAAGGTAATTTGCATTATGGGGTTGTGAAGATTGTTGAGTTACTTTTTGAAATCATGAATAGATCAATGGTGGACACGCATTGCTGATGAGTTCCATACCACAACGAAGAGGCCGTGTTTCATTGCTTCTAGGTTTCTAATGGCGGTCTAACGTTGATCGATTCATGATTCCTAAAATGTATATGTGTGACCAGATTGTTCGGAATGTATAGGGGGCAAATACATCACAACATTATTCAAATCAAATAAATATTAAGTAATAGACAATATTAGCGGAAAGAATACATTAACAGATACTGTAACCGATTTGGAATTATATCTCTGAATGTCTCCAATGATGCGGCGGCACATATAGACACAGTGAACTTATTTCAATTACACTATTAATCATTTAACAGATATACATAGAATCAAATTAAAATGGAAAATTCATCACTAGACTGCCCAACTTTTACATTCATCTATGAGGAGAAAACTAATTATAGGTCGATTATAATGCCTGTTTCAATCAGCACATATTTATTATTAACAGGATGATTTAAGCTTTGAATAAATATGCAATGTTACATACACATAATTTAAACTCAAGAGATATACATAGAGAGAGAGAGAGAGAAAAAAACGAAACAACTTACTCAATCGACTTTTTTTATTATTATAATTATGATCGATGACATTGTCATTTTGAGCATTGGAAGTTGATGTTGTTGTAGCCTCATGCACTAATTCATAGTAATACAATTCTTTAATTTGATGTAAACGTTGTAAAACATAATCAACGGAAAGCATATCACTAGAAAAAAAAGACAAGCAAATAAATAAATATTTACAAGTTCAGTTAGTTAAAAATGGTGAAACGGTTTATTTTCATATATATAAGTAGGAAAGAGATAAGTACTCAATAATGACAAGAAATCTATTACTTGTGTGGTGCGCGCTACTTATAAGTAGTATATGACGCGAGTGTAAACGTAATGTCTGGCAGCAGAAGATGGGGAAAGATCAAGCGAAAGGGAGAGTGGGAACACAATGGAATTTGTATTAAATGCATGAATAGTGAAATGTCAGACAATGGATTAATGTTTTGCAACTGGAACAGTCAGTTCGATATGATGGATTGATATTTTGCAAATTACCGATTAAGGATATGGTTTTCCTATTTTAGCAATTAACTCTGTAATTTTTGCCCTCACCTGTGTTCTCCTTCACTACACTTGTAAGTTTATACATGTCAGTCAATTACAACTGAGAACTTTGTACATGAGTACAAAAGTTCACGTTGCCATACGGCATCAACACAGAGATGCGATTGTCACTTCAGATCCAAAATAGTGGTAGAGATAATAGTAGGAGAATTAACAATAATGAAGAATATTAGGGATCGAAAACATTATTCAAGAAGTATAATTCAGTGAGATAAATTTAGAAAGAGAAAGACAGAGATGATAAGGAGTTCAGAAGGTTAGAATTTAAGAGAACACAAAGATTGAATGCACCTGTGCCACTGCAAACGATTCTAAGCCATGTTGTTCAAGGTCTTCTCTAACTATGGGGTGACTGATACGAGTCAGTAATTCAAATGTAATAAGTGATTAGATATGGAAACTAACAAACGGAACATCTTATACCATATATGAAGGATACACCAGAGATGACAAGATCATTGAGAAATAAAAAACCGGTAATATAACATTAATCAGCATACAATTGGCTGATCACTGGGAATCGGATCAATGTCAATCAATTAAAAAGATGCAAGGGAATAAGAACAGACATCATTAACAGCGACCACCAAACAGGTGTTTATTAATAAAGATGGGCACTGTAAAGTGGAACAACACATTTTTTTACTGCAATGAGATATGTTTGATTTAACCTCTAAACCATCGGCTACTGCTAACACTACTGCAGCGGAATCATCACATACAATAATTGTTGTAATGTAGCAGGTGTATTTGTAATTTAAGCTAATTGATTTGAAATATCGTTGAAAAGTTTTTGCCTGTTGAATTAATTAACTAGAATTAATGATAATATGAATTAACAATAATAGTTATGATAATAATTGTCATAATTCTCTCTCATTATTACAACCCAACTATTCTTAATGCTTAGGTATTCTCGAACACCAATTTGCTCGAGAAGTTCTCCCAAAATCAGAATTACGGTTGAACAGGAAAGAGAGATCATATTCCAATAACAAGGTTAGATGGAATTCAGAAAATCGAAAGGAAAAAGACATGAGTATATTTATAGTTCTCTTACATGAGAAGATTCTAGACTGGTCCTTTAGTATTGGCTAGCGATGATTGGATACGAAAGAGCCAATCAGCATGCAACACAATGCAATTATGCTTTAATCTAATCTATGTCCCACAAACAATAATAAAAATAGTAATAGCATAAGGTTCACCTGATATTTTCCACCAGTTTCTCTATTAATGTTGGGGACGTGAGATCCCCAGAACTCGCTTGATAAATGCCTTATTTTGGATTTCACGTTTGTGAGCATGGGCTGATCAGTTGACCTTGAGATTTCATTTCCCATTAGGAAAACCCTTGGCTGTGATTGGCCGCTGTGTATTGTAGTGTACTATTTTTGTGACTGTCTCAAAGACGTTTCTATGATGTATAAATAAACGAGAGTTGTATGCGTGATTGTATTGTTCTTGCGGGGTGTTGTAGAATATACTTTCTACGCTTAATCAAGACTTTTGTTTTGCCATTTTCGGATCAAGGTAGTCTACCTGGAGGCTGGTAATTGTTTCGTTCGTGTTTATCGACTACAGTGAACCCATAATAGCTTCTAGCGTAGCTAGTGACGAACTTAACAATTTAACATTCAACAAAACCTTAATATTCAAATCTTATTATCATAGAAAGTGAACAATCGTTAGAATGTAGATAGATCATTAAGTTTCCACTGGAGAGAAGAAAGGACAATGTTTTCAGGAATGTATACAGTGTGAAGAATCCCGAATGTGTAGTATTTAAAACTTATCCAAACTAAAATTTCCTAAAGTTGAAACATACTGGTCAACACATATGTGACCAAATAACGTTGTGTTTACCTACCACAGAACGATCTGTATATATGTATATGCTATACAAAACGATGGTGAGCACCCAGAAAGTTTTTTCTCCGGAGCATAGGGAATGGGCAAAATATTAAGTGAAATTTATGGAATAATTATTATTATTATTGTTAGTAGTAGTAGTAGTGTAATGAAGGAGAACACAGGTGAGGGCAACCGAATTGTATTTAACGAAAATTACAGAGTTACTCAGTAAAATAGGAAAACCATATCGTAAACGGTTAATTTGCAAAACACTCAATCCATTGTCTGACATTTCACTATTCATGCGTTTCATACAAATCCCATTGTGTTCTCACTCTTCTTCCTTTCTCTTGATCTTCCCCCATCTTCTGTTGTCAGACATTACGTTTACACTCACGTCATATACTACTTATAAGTAGCGCGCACCACAGTAGCAGTAGTAGTATATGAGTATTAAGTCAGATTATCATTTATGGCAGTGAATCAATTCAGTAGGCAAAAACGTGTCAATGATTTTTTGTTAACAATGAAAAGTTCATGAACTCACTTGAAATTATTGAATTGAATTTGTCGACTATTGAATATCACTTCTAAAAGAAGACGTGTTCGTAATTCTTCTTGACCTTTACGTAAATACGGGAGAATACGTAATGCTGTTAAATGAATCATATTACCACCACCATTGGTAATAACTTCACCCAAAGTGGAATTCGAGCATAACAATGTTTTCAGATGGACAGTTAAGTTAGATTCGTCTAATTCTAAAATCTACAATAAAGTTAAAAAAAATAGATCAAAGTAGAAAAATGTTGAAATATTGTAGATTAGATCAACTTAAGAGCTGACTATCAAAGCATGTATAACAAAGGATATCGAATTCAGAGCTATCAGCTTATTTTCAATACAGCTGATTCAATAAGAATATTATTTATCATCACTATAGGATACACAGTAGAGCAACCTTAGCTCTGATTGGACGAAAAGATAGTAATTAAAACGGTAGGAACTTTAAGATTAACTAAGTTATGGTTATTTGGTCATGAAAAGAACTTGAAACATTGCACTGACTGTGTAGTGTGTGTATGTGTGCGTACTAATGTATTGAGCACACACATGGCTTGTCCCAGTTTTCGGACAAACTAATGAACGTTTTCCACATCTTTAGATCATGCCAATTATTTGTTTATATTTTGGTTGTTTTTATTCGAATGTGTTTGTGCATCGCTTACTTCGGTTATTTTACATATCTAGATGAAGTGGTGAAACTTCATCAGTTGAGATGGTTGGGACATGTGTTACGTATGACTAACCACCGACTGCCTCGAAGAGCTATGTCTTGCAGTGTAGGAGTAGATTGGAAGAAAGCTAGGGATGACCAAACCAAAACATGGCAGAAATCCATGAAGTCACTGACAAGTGAACTGAGTCATGTTGGTAGATGTAGACTACCTGGTTGGGGTCCGCGAGACAAAAGTCACCAATGGTTAGAGACCTTGAACGACATGGCTCAAAATCGTTTGCAATGGCGCAAGTGCATCCATTCTTTGAGCTCTCTCAAATCCTAATCTTCTGGATTCGTCAGCACCTCTACCTTTGTCTTTCTAACCTTATCTCACTGAATTATACTTCTTGAATAATATCTTCGAACCCTAGTCTTCTTCATTACCATTAATACCTCTACTATCTTTATGACTATGGGATTTGATTTGACATTTGCGTCTTTGTGCTAAT